GCATTGTCCGCCCCATGCACTTCCTCTCCCTCTTCCCCACCATTTTTACCCTTTCACTCTAGCAGTTATCAACTACTAATCAGTTAGCTATTTATTTGATAGGCTTTATAAGGCAGGAATTTTCGTCCGTCTTGTTCTCTGGTGTATCCCAGCCCCTAGAATAGTATTTGGCATATGGTAAGCACTCAATAAAAATTTGTTAAAATAATGTTGAATTAATTAAAATAATGAGCCAGATTCTCATTCTCTGAATTGCTAATTTTTTATCAGTGAGAAAGTATACATTTTTATGAATTGTTCAAGTTCATTATCTACTCTATCAATTTCAGCAATAAAATCATGGAATAAGAAACTTCTTTACTTCCTCTTATTTCTAAATATTGTCCTCCTTGTCTATTTTTTTCCTTCAGTTTATCATGCATAATTCTTAACCTCAAGTTGTAGAGGGCTTACGAAAGCTTCAGTAAGTGGTCCGAAAAAAGTAATGACGCACCTGTTTCTACATTGCACGTACTCCAACTGTCACCGGCTCCTCTTTCTTTCAATTTAATAATATCGATGTGCTACGTTAAATGCATTTTATATACTTTTTATAAAACCTTGTTAGCATGTTATGCATCTGGTGTGGCCCAATATGAAGAAAGAAACGTTACAAAGTAATCAATTGCTGCTTTAAGCATTGGGAGCTTAAGCATTCTGTGCCTTTCTAGAACTTAAGTACTTTCTTCTGTCATGGTAACTAGCTGCATGCATTCTCCCATCTTATTCTGTCACGGGTTATCTCTCATGATCTCTGCCCACATGCAAGAGCAGTTACATGTAGATGTTCTCCAGTTTCTACCCCTAATGGGCTTATACTCCCATTCTGACTTCCTTCTTGGCAATCTTATGAACTTGGGTGACTTCAACCATTAACTTGATCCTGCTGTCTTCCAAATCTATATGCCGATGCCCACATTTTCATGAGGTCCAAATCTCTGGACTAATGAAAGCACTTCAAATTCTACATGTCAAATATCAAACTCATCCACCCCAGTCTGCTCCTACTCCTTTGTTCATCTGTCTCTATTAATCATACCTCCAGCCTTTCAGTCGCCATATCCAGAAACCACAAAAACATCTCTGATATTTCCTCTGGGCCCTTTCCTCCCACACATCTGATCACATACTAACCCCCTGGAATTCTGCTGCTGAAATAACTTTCCAGTCTTTTCCCTACTTTCCACTGCTATAGCTTTACTAACGCTGGTACTCACCTGGACTACTATACCAGTCTCCTAACAGATCTATTACCTCCTGGTTTCTACCTCGTTCTCTACTTTTCATATTTGTTCTAGAGAAATTTTTCAAAGTGGAGATCAAAGCATGACATCACACTGAATTAAAAATTATCTTAAATTTTAGCATGGTATTCAAGACTTTCCCAATTTGAGCCAAATTCATTTTGCAAACTCATGTTTCATCTTTCTCCCTAAAACAAAGACTAATGGATCATCTCCTAAGCACATGGTATCATTTTAAATTTTTATGCTTTTGCTTAGGCTTCCCCTCTTCCTGGAATTTTCTTCACATCCCTCCTTTCCTTCTCCGCTCCCCTTTCCTCTCTCATATGATGCAGCTTCTAAGACCCAGATCTAATAGGACCTCTTTGGTGAAACCTTCCTTGACTTTCCCAGCTTTGGACAGGTTGCTTCTCCTTCTGTGGTGTTAAATCACTTCATCATAACTGTTTTATTTATTTATTTTAAAGATTTTATTTATTTATTTGAGAGAGAGAGAATGAGAGATAGAGAGCACAAGAGGGAAGAGGGTCAGAGGGAGAAGCAGACTCCCTGCTGAGCAGGGAGCCCGATGCGGGACTCGATCCCGGGACTCCAGGATCATGACCTGAGCTGAAGGCAGTCGCCTAACCAACTGAGCCACCCAGCCACCCCATCATAACTGTTTTAATACCCCCATAATAGTATGGTAGTGCATATTGTCAATTTACCCCCAACCTATGACTTCTTTAGGGAAAGTAACTGTAATTTTTTTTTTTAAGATTTTATTTATTTGACAGAGAGAGACACAGGGAGAGAGGGAACACAAGCAGAGGGAGTGGGAGAGGGAGAAGCAGGCTTCCCGCTGAGCAGGGAGCCCAAAGCAGGGCTCGATCCCAGGACCCTGGGATCGTGACCTGAGCCGAAGGCAGACGCTGAATGACTGAGCCAGCCAGGCGCCCTGTATATATATTTTTAAATCTTAGTGTCCCATGCATAAAGCAAAATTCCTGGCAATTAGGAGATTTGGCACATGTTTGATTAAAAAATAAACAAACCAAAAAAGAGAAACAGACTCATAAATACAGAGAACAAACTGGTGCTTGCCAGGGGGAAAGGGTTGGGGAGATGAGTGAAACAAGTGAAGGGGATTAGGAGGTACAGACCTTTAGTTATAAAATAAATAAGTGACGTGGATGAAAAGTACAGCATAGGGAAAATAGTCAATAATACTTTAATAGTGTTGTATGTGCCAGATGGTAACTAGACTTAGTGTGGTGAGCATTGTGCATAGACTCTTCAGATCACTACGTTGTACATCTGAAACTAATATAATATTATATGTCAACTGTATTTCAATAATAAAAAATTTTAAAAAGATAAGGAGTAGAAACAAATTTATAGATGCTGAACTAGAATCAACACAGTGAAATATTGCAGATGAGTATAGAAGGTAGTAAAAACTAAGGAAGCTAGTCCGGGTGTTTCCTGTAAAAGGTCTTCTCTTGCCTTTCTAAATAACTTTTCTAAACAGCCCATCCTGTTTCACTGTACATAATGAAATTATTATGCTTCCTAAGGACCACATTTGAGAAACATTGATCTAGCCCTAAACATTCATTTTATAGATGAGATGACTGAATTCCATGGAAGTGGTAATCTATGTAGAGTGAAGTCTCAAGCTCAGTTTTCTAGCATCCGGCCTTACTACATTTCCACGAGTTCTTATTATTTGATCTTCACATTGGCCAGTTGGGAACCCTGCTATTGCTGCTCCTTTTTATTCTTCTCCTTATTTTCTGGTTTAATTTGGTCTCCATCTATTGAAATGAATAAAGGAATGTCGTTTAAAAAAATTCACATATTTACCTGTATTCTCTCTCATAGCTTTCTTTACTTTTAGACGTGAGCGAGTTATTTCTTTGGAGAAAAACCAAACCCACCCCTAAATCCCAGAAAGATTCAGAATCTCTATATCCTCAACTCTGCTGCGTGTTTGTTTCATCTGCTTCTCTGGTCAACCTGTATGCACAGAAACTTTTCACATCACAAAATGTCCACACTACCCCTCATAATTACAGCCAACGCCATCAACTTACTTTCATATCAGCACAGTGCAGCTGTGCAACACGATGTTTTTTGTTTTTTGTTTTTAACAACTGAATAGGTACATCCAACAATGTTGGAGGGATGGGCAAAGAGACAGACAAAGCTTTCAGTCTCCTTTTGGGCTTTGTTAATAAGGACAGCTCAGCTGATAGTGTTTTCTGAGAACAAGGGGAGGCCCAATAGAGGGAACTCTCCCATTCCCAGCAGACCATCATCAGTGGTAATTTGGGGGACAGCTTTCCTTGCTGGGAATAGTTAGGGTAGGAGGGCTTCTGACCCTGTCAGTGCTGCTAATTTTAAGCATCATTCTCTCCCTGGTATGTTCATGACAGTGTAAGTCTCATCACTGTCTCTTGAGCTGATCCCCCTGAACTCATTATATTATGATGGGGTAGTTCCTAAGAGGTCATTGTCCCCACCAACCTCTCTCATTTGGTTTCTTTTTCTCATCTTCAAGATAAACATTATGGAGCTGGTTTATTATATACACATTGTTTTACTAATTAAAGTTAAATCCTTCAAATATCCAAAAGAGTATGGCAGCAAAGAGAACAAACAGTGATGCACCCCCACCCAACTCTAAACAAAGTCTTGAATCTTGCCAATATTTGTTTCAAAATTATTTAAAGAGGTAAAACATTACAGATATAGTGGAAGCTCCTTTTATCACCGTCTCCAATCTTTTTTCTCTTTCTTCCTTGAGGTGATCACTTCTACAAAACTCGGTATTGATAACTTCCATTCATGTTTTTATTCTTTTTTTTAAGATTTTTATTTATTTATTGAGAGAGAGAGCGAATGGTAGAGGGAGAGCATGAGAGAGAAGAAGGTTAGAGGGAGAAGCAGACTCCCTGCTGAGCAGGGAGCCCGATGCGGGACTCGATCCTGGGACTCCGGGATCATGACCTGAGCTGAAGCCAGTCGCTTAACCAACTGAGCCACCCAGGCACCCTCATATTTTTATTCTATTTCTACGTATGTATGCATCCTAAATAAAAACCTCTCATGTTTTCAAACATGACTCTCTACATATAATTCTGCTTATTTTTTAATCAATATTGTTCTGGGAGTTTATTCCTATTAACACCTGTAGCTCAAGGTTATTCATATTAAATACCATGTATTATTTCATTGTGTTTCATTAGTCATTCTTTTCTTAAATTACTTATATATATATATATATATTTAGGTTCACTAAATTTATTTTAAAAATTATAAAACGTTTCTTACAAAAGAGCATTACATTCTGCACACTGCTCTGAATAGATGCCAGGGACAAACGGACTATTGTTACTTTTCCTCCCTGTCCCCCCCCCAAAATGTTACAGTGACCACAAAGCAAAGTATTCACAATAATTACATGGGGGGAATTTTTTCTTTTAAACCACCAACAATGAACAAAAATTAAAATTCACTCACTCTGCTGCTGTTTCAAAATTTCAATGTTAGTTTTTGCACGCCCTTCCCCCCCCCACCCTGTTTGTAAGGAACTAAAACATTACATCTGGTGAACAGCAAAGATTTCACTACACCTCAAATGCAGAACACCTATGAAGCAGAGGAATGTTGGCTTTTTAAACAGAAGCAGATAAAAAAAAAAAGATGCAGGACTCCTTCAGTTCTTCACTAGTCTTAGAAAAACTTTCCAGAATACTGCTTCACACTATAAAAAAGAAAAAATATCTTGCATTAGAATCCTTCAACATCTGCATACTGCTTCACACTGTTCTGCAGCAAATACTGTGCATTCTGTATCTGGTCCTGTGTTCCTGTAATGGTAATGATCCGATCTTCAGACCCTTCTAGAGGCTCGTCAATTTTGATCGAAGCTCCTGACTCATGACGGATTTGTTTAATCCGCTGACCACCTTTGCCAATAATAGATCCAGCCAAATCTTTGGGAATAGTTACTTGTGTAGTAATAATAGGTCCACCAAGATCACCATATGAGCCACGACCCCCTGCATAGGAATAATCATATCCGGAGCCACCCTGTGGTTCATAAGCCATCTGCCATTCTGATGGGCTCCATGTATCTATTGCAGAGTCCCAAGTTTCATCAGCACTGAAACCAACCATGCCATCATAGCGGTCTCCAGGTCTTCCTCTTCTGTCATAGGCCATTAAATCTCCTCCTCTAGGTGGTGGTGGTGGAGGAAGAGGAAGATTCCGAGCTCTGCTACCACCCCGGCCACCTCGTCCAGGAGGAGGTGGAGGAGGTCCCCGACGAGGGCTCATATCATCATAATCTCTTCTAGATGGAGGCATAGGACGCCCACCCCTACCAGGAGGCATTCTGTCAAAACCACCTCTTCCCCGCCTGGGAAATCCCACAGGACGTCCACGGCGGTCATCAAACATCATTGTAAAACCACCATAATCATAGGTTTCATCATAAAAATTGGGATCATAAGGCTGTGCACGTCCTTTGATGGGAGACTCTGATATAAGATCAAGGATGATCTTGATGCACTCTACAACCCTATCAGGTTTTCCTCCAATAAGAACGACTCTGTCAGTGGAATGAGGACAGCATTCCTGGAAAAGCTTGATTGTTGTCTGTGTGTTCTCTCGAAGTTCTTTGATTTTAGCACCTTTGACCCCAATAATTCCTCCTGCCAGACTCTGATGAATCAACAGTCTCAACTCGCAGTCAAAGTCACTTCCTTTATAGTGTTGGTAATTTAAGCATTCCACAGCATCAGACTCGAGCAGGAGCTGGCTGGTTGCAGTGGGTGATGGCAACTGCAGGCCCTCTTCCATGGTAGGGATGATTTTCTTCAGAATTTCTCCAATTGTTTCAATATCAGCACTGATACTCAATATGCGCTCGGGGCCACTGCTGTCTGGGACTGAAACACTGGCATTGTAGTCTGTACGGAGAGCCTTAATATTCTTGCCTCCTTTTCCAATCACTGCCCCAGCATTCTTGCTCTGAAGCAAAATGCGTAATTCAACCATCTCATCAGTGTTTCTAGATCTTTTAAAAGCTTGTTCCTCTTCCATATCTTCTGCTGGGCGTTTACCAAATTCACCATTGGTTTCGGTGTTGGGGAAGGTTTCCTCTGGCTGTTCAGTTTCCATTTTCTTGTATTAAATGGATACACCAATCAGGTATAATATATCCTTGCAGAGCAGAACTGAAGTGTTCTGGGCGGGACCAACTGACACCCTAGTGCTGCAGTAGCCGCGCGAGGCCGCCGTCCCTGTGCCGCCGCGCCGCCTCAGCCGGTCAGAGCTAGACAGAGAATGAGCGCAGGCCCCCGCCCTATATTTTTAATATTACCAGCTCTGGTGTAATGAGTATTATTGTCTGTGTCTCATTTTGTGCATGTATCAGACTTTCTCTTCAATGTATTCTTCAGGTGCAGTCACTATATTACATGATTTGTACAAAATCTAACCAACTAGATTTTGCCAAAGCAAATGTTCCAATCTACACACCTAAAAGCAGGAGCCGAGAGTTCTTCATGCTCTACAGTCTCACCACCACTTGAAATTGTCCAACTTTTAAATTTTAGTCAATGAGAACATGTCAATTTTATTGTTTTTAAGTATTGCCGTTGAGTTCAATACATGGATTGGCCATTTTGGTTTCTTTTCTGTGGATTTCCCGTTCATCATCCCTCCCTTTTAAAAAAATGTGTTTTTTTTCATTAATTTTTTATGTTTTCTAATTTTTTTGGATATTCATCTTTTGTCAGTTAATGAAAGGTAAATATCTTCTCGTAGGTTGTGCTTGCCTTTTCATTTTTAAGTAACTGTCTTTTCAAGTAGTTTTAGGTTTACAGAAAAACAGCACAGAAAATAGAGTTCCTATATACCCCATCTCTGCCAACATAGTTTCTCCTCTTATTAACATCTTGCTTTGGTATGGTACGTTTGTTACAGTTGATGGACTAATATTGATGAATTATTATTAACTAAAATCTACAGTTTACATTAGGGTTCACTCATTGTGACGTAAAATTCTACGCATTCTGACAAGTGCATAATCTCATGTGTATACCATTGTAGTAGTATACAGAATAGTTTCCCTCCCCTAAAAATGCCATGCGCTTCTATTTACCCTTCCCATCCTCCCTGCCACTGAATCCCTGGCAACCACTGTTTTTTTTTACCATCTCCACAGTTTGGCCTTTTCCAGAATGTCATATTGCTGGAATCAGACCATATGTTGTTTTGTCAGATTAGCTCTTTCGCTGAACAATATGCATTTAAGGGTCCTCTGTATTTTTGTGGCTTGATGGCTCATTTCTTTTTATCACTGAATAATATTCCATTTTATGGATGTACCATCTTTTGCTTATCCATTTACACCTTGAAGGACATTTTGGTTGCTCTGATTTTTGGCAGTTTTGAGGGTTTATTATCAATATTCATGTGCAAAGTTTTCTATGGTTCTAAACTTTCAGCTATTTGGATAAATATCTAGGAGTGCAGTTGCTGGTTCATATGGCCAACCTGTGGTTGGTTTTGTAAAGGCTGCCAAAATATTTTCCAAAGCAGCTATAGGATTTTGCATTCCCACAAACACTGACTGAGAGTTCCTGCTGCTCCACGTTGTTTCCAGCATTTGATGTCAGTGTTTTTGGATTTTAGCTATTCTGATAGGGGTTTTGTATTAACCGTGTTCCTTATTTTCTGTATTTTATAATGCTTTAGCATCCTGAGGCCTCCCTGACAATGAGGGACTTCTCCCAAAACTAGCTTACTCCTAGACATAGTAAATGATTCCCTTGTGATCACACCATTCATATGCAAACCAACCAATCCCAAACCCATAACCCCAACCACCAACTTTATAAAACTTTCACACACCAAGTCCATATTCTCCTGACCTAATCAACTCAGGGCCAGGTACCAGACAACTCATGACAACCTCAATACCCCACGTCTGCTGAAATTGTTCAAACTAGCCAAGTCTACATCTGCTTATCTACCAAACCAATTTCCTCCTGTATAAACCACAATAAAGGCTATTGCCCATGTTTTTCTCTTGCTTCCGCTGCCTCCTGACTGACAACATATCCCCCATATGTCCCTCTGTGCTGTGCTGTATCTCCTGTTGTTAGGGATCTGTGAGTATAGAAACTTCTTCCTTCACTGAAGTCATTTCTGTGTCTATTTGTCCTAACACAGCTGATCAAACACATCCTAGGCACATATGTAGTGGTGTCTCATTGTTTTTTAATTTGTACTGCCTTGATGATATATGATGTTGAACATATTTCCACATGCTTATTTGCCATCTGTATATTTTCTTTAATGAGGTGTCTGCTCAGATATTTTGCCCACTTTCTTATAGTTGAGGTTTAAGAGGTGCTTTCTGGGGGCTATAGTTTGATTATAAGTCCTTTATCAAGTATGTATTTTGTAAAGAATTTTTCGCAGTCTGTGGCTTGTTTTTTCATTTTCCAAACAAACTCATTGGTAGCACAGAAGTTTTTAACTTTAATGAAGTTCAATTTATCAATTTTTTTTCATGGACTATGTTTTTGGTGTTGTATTTAAAATGTCATTGTCAAACCTAGAATTTTTCTAACTTCTAGTCATTTCATAGTTTTGCATTTTACATTTAGATCTATGATGCATTTTGAGTTAATTTTTGTGAGAGGGGTTAAAGTCTGTATTTAGATTCCATTTTTTTTTTTTTTTTTTTTTTTTTTTTTGGATATGGATGTTCAGTTGTTCCAGCACCACTGGCAGAAAAGACTATCCTTTATCCATTGAAATGCCTTGTCAGAGAAATATTGACAATAATTGTATGGTCTCTCTATTCTGTCCCATTGAAATATTTGTCTATTCTTTCACCAATGCCACACTGTCTTAGTCACTGCAGCTAGTAAGTCTTAAAATTAGGTAGTGTCAATCCTCCAGTTTTTCTTTTTCAGAATTGTGTTGGCAATTCTGGCTCTTTGCCTTTCTATATGAACTTTAGAATTAGTTTGCCAATATCAACAAAATATCTGTATGGGATTTTTATTGTGGTTGCATTGAATCTGCAGATCAAGTTGGGAATAATTGGCATTCAATAAATTTGAGTCTTCCTATCCATGAACATGGAATATCTATTAAGATTCTCTTTGATTTTTTTTCTCAGAGTTTTGTTGTAATTTTTCTTAGATAAATCCAGTTCATATTTTGTTAGATTTATTTGTAAGTATTTAATTTTTGGTGGTGCTAATGTAAATGCTGTTCTAATTCCAAATTCCAGTTGTCCATTGCTGGTATATAGGATATATAGGAAATAGTTGCCTTATGTATATTAACTTCTGAAAACTTCCAACCATTTTTTTGTTGAGTCTTTAGGATTTTCTACATAGACAATCAAATCATCTGCAAGAAAAGATGGTTTTATTTACCTCATCTCAATTTATATACCTTTTATTTCTGGACTCTGATTGAATTAGCAAAGATTTCCAGTATGATGTTGAATAGGAATGGTTGAGAATGTACCTCCTTTTTTTTAATATCATGAATCAATGTTGAACTTTGCCAAATGCTTTTTCTGCATATATTGATAATTATTTTATGCTTTTTCTTCATTAGACTGTTGTGATGAATTACATCAATTGAGTTTTTGACTGTTGAACCAGTCTTGTACACCTGGACTTACTATGACTTGGTCATGATGTCTAATTTTTTTACATATTGTTGGTTTAATGCTGCTATTTTTTTAAGAATTTCTGCATATATATATGTATGCAATGTCATGAGAGGTATTTGTCTTTAACTTTCTGTCTTTGTATTGTCTTTGTCTGATTTTAATATTAGAGTAATTCAGACCTCCTAAAATGAGCTAAGACTGTTCTCTCTGCCTCTATTTTCCAGAAATTTGTAGAGAATTGGCATTATTTCTTCCTTAAATGTTTGAATTCACGAGTGAAACCATCTGGGCCTGGTGTCTTCTGTTTGGGAAGATTATTAATTGTTGATTCAACTTCTTTAATAGATATAAGTCTATTCAGAATATCTATTTATCCCTGTGGGAGTTTTTGTTGATTTTGTCTTTCATGGAATTTGTCCATTTCATTTAAGTTATTAAATTTGCAGGACACAAACTGATTCATAATATTCCTTTATCATCCTTTCACTATCCATGGAATGAGTAGTGATGGCACCTTTTTAATTTGTGATAGTAATTAGTGTCTTCTCTCTTTTTTCCTTGGTTTGTGTGGCTAGAGGTTTACCAATGTTATTGATCTTTTTAAAAAGAGTGCATTGGTAAATATATTAACTCTTTTTGTTCAATTAAAATTACTTAAATTACTTAATATCCTGTGACCTAAAGACCAAATTATAAAGAGAACCAGCTCCTACACACCTTGTATAAAGTAGTATGGGAAAGGGAGAAGAGAAAGAGAGGAAAAATTTAAATACATACACATATATTTCTAAGAAGCTATTACCATTCTCATTCTGCAACTAGTCATGGGGCCTTAGTATTTCAAACTTCATTCCACCTCTTCATGTTTTCTTTGCCTGCAGTCACTGTGTCAGCTGGTTTTTATCCTTTACCTGATGATTTTCCGTAGCTATTCATTTTGAAGGTGTCTTTACCATTACGGGTTTCACCGCTATTGAATTGCAGTAAGCTTCCATTAATTTCCTTTCTTGTTATGAAAGTATAACAGACACCTCAAAGATTTATGTAGCAACTACGAGATTTTTCCTTGATAATCAGAATCAGTCTTCCCATCCATAATGGTTTAAAAATGTCTGCAACTTCTTCCTTTAAATGATGGAATATAATTATTCACTCCTTGAATACAGGCTGGCTTTTTTTTTGAATATAATGTTTTTTTTAATATAATGTTTTTAATATTTATTTTTATGGTACCTTGGTACCTTTTTATGATATAATGTTGCAGGAATGACATACAGGTCAAAGAAGGTGATACTGCTTCCATCTGAATTTCAGTCCTTAGTTTTTGAACCACACTAACTGATGCTGAATAGGGCAGAGACAGATGTCCCAGGCTTTTTAGAAAAGATTTTATTATTTATCTGAGAGAGAGAGCCAGTGCACAAGCCAGGGGAGGGGCAGAGGGAGAGGAACAGAATCTCCACTGAGCAGGGAGCTGACGTAGGGAGCACGAAATGGGGCTCCATCCCAGGACCCTGAGGCAGATGCTTAATTGACTGAGCCACCCAGCCGCCCCAAATTTCAAATTTGTCATGAAAACAAATATTGTCATTTTGTACTGCTAAATTTTGAGATGGTTTATTACTCAGTAATAGAGGACATGTTTTGGTACTTGGAA